AAAAAAAAAAAAAAAAAAAATTGTTATGTCCATGAAATCGCCTGTATTGGGTTTCCCAATTCACACAGTGGTCAGTACAGAAGAATAGAAGGATTAATCTGGCACCAAACCAGAGCTCTACTGGGCTCCATATCATTGACAATAAATTACTATTCCTGCTTCAAATCCGATCAGCATCTTCTACCAAATCACCTCTCCAAACTCATTTATCTATCAGAGACCTAATACAATTGGAACAATTACAAAAACAAGACTGGAGAGAGCCAGTGGGATTTCATGGGTTTGGGGGTGATTGTGGAGACAGTGTCTTTTAAATGCAACTCTTCATAAAATCTTATTTTTTTATTTTTCCTTTTTATAAGCAGGAATTACATTGTACCTGGGCAAATGGCTTATTGGGTTTCACAAATTGTGCAAAGATATGTGTGTGTGTACACATATATCTGGAAATGTCATTTTCTGTTGACATTCTTATGAAAAGACTTTTAGATGACAGTCTCATAAATCTTTAAACCATATTAAAAGAAGTTGCCACAATACAGGCAATTAATTTTCTTCCTTCTTTTCTCCAGATTTAGAGTGTGGTTTCACGCTCTGACTTTTCAGTAGACTTGAAGAGCAGCTTTGCTCACCTCTTAAATTTTCCCTTTAAGGTGTGTCCTTTATTTCTGTGACATGCAAGGCTGGGATGGCAGTCCTGTTCCTACATGTAATAACCATATTCAACATACAGATGATGACAAACACCTTCCAGGGTTGGAGTTCATACTAAAGTTGAGAACCAGAAATCTACAGAAACTCAATTCATGTTTTTTAAATACTTTATATGGTAAAAATACAGCAAAAATAGTTTTTTGTTCAAAGAGGAAAATATATACTACTATGGTCACGGTTCTAAGGATGATATAAGTAGTCTCTGGCTCCTCAACTGCGCTGTAGGGTGACTTCAACCACGGCTTCTCCAGCTTCAGTCATTTATCAAAGCTAAAATCATACTGTGGAAAGAAGAAATTAATGTTATCAATGTTTCTTTAGGAATATTCCTACAGAGCCTGGTCTATCCAGACTTGGATCCCTAAGATTCATCAAGGAATACTCATTTGAGTAAAAGGCAATCATCTATACTAAAGGAAAGAATATCTATATCAAGGCTTCTCAATATCTTAATTTTTTTATTCCTAAAAGAATAAACTGGCGTTAAGGGTAGGGAACCTATAATAAAACCAATGTTGGGCTATAGTTTAAAAAAAGTAATCTGTGGCTTGGCGCCTGTGGCTCAAAGCACCAGCCACATACACCTAAGGTGGCGGGTTCAAATCCAGCCTGGGCCCACCAAATAACAATGAGTCCCAGCTACTTGGGAGGCTAAGGCAGGAGACTCGCTTGAGCCCAGGAGTTGGAGGTTGCTGTGACCTATGAGCTGTGATGCCACAGCACTCTACCCAGGGGGACAGCTTGAGGCTCTGTCACAAAAAAAACCCAAAAAAACAAAAAAACAAAAAAAACAAAAAGTAATCTATGTCCAGAAGAAAATCCAGAATTCTCCAGCCAAATCTTTGTCTATAGTGACACTATGCCTGGCATCTCTTCTCCCTATCCCACCCCCACAACCCAGTAAATTCCTACTCAGGCTTCATGATTGGGCTCTATGGCACCTCCTTTGGGAAGCTGGACTCCCAGCCCAGGGCTGCTGCATGACCTCCTTTCACAGCTTGTCATCTTCCTGCTTGCATGCTGTGGCTCACACACTGGTCCTAACCATTGGGTTGTGAGCTCCTCTGAGATGAGAGTAGTTCTACTGTGCCCAGACTGTAATTACCAAGCTCCAAGTTTTTACTGTTTCTTTGTGTCATTTGCAGGTACCTTACACAATGTCTGCCACATGGCAGTCACCCAATAACTACTATTCTACTAAAACTGCCACAGTTAATGATAACAAAACAATCCTTTCCATTTAAATACTGGGATCTGCCTTGCTCTGCTGACATCAAATACCTAAAGTACACAAAAATACCTTACTAATGGTATAGATGATTAGTTGTCCAAAAAAAAAAAAATTTTTTTTTTTGAAACAGAGCCTGAAGCTGTCACCCTGGGTGGAATGTCGTGGCATCACAGTTCACAGCAACCTCCAACTCCTGGGCTCGAGCAATTCTCCTGCCTCTGCCTCTCAAGTAGCTGGGACTATAGGCGCCTGCCACGATGCCCGGGTATTTTTTGGCTGCAGCTATCACTATATGGCAGGCCACAGCTGGATTCAAACCCACCAGCTCAGGTGTATGCTGCTGGCACCTTAGCCACTTGACCCACAGGCGCCAAACC